AAGTGCATGCTAATAGGGTGGAAGACCCATATTTATAAAATTTGGTAATATTGACAACAGATTTAAACTATAAGAACTATTACTATCATTTCCCATTCATAGAAAAAATAAACTTCTAAACCACATTAACAACACAAAAAGCACATAGTGTGACGCAGCTAAAGAATTACGTCTTCAATAATCCTCCTTAAGTTTCTTCATCTTTTAATTTTATTTGCAAACTGAACAAAATAATCAAAAATCATAAAGAAGAAGACGAATTGATGCATCATGGATTACGAATATAAATTACTTAAAAATAAATCCGTTAAACAAGGTCTATAATATTTTCATAATATTCATAACAAGATGTTGTTTTCGAATTTCGTTTCTTGCACTCAAAAAAAAATTACAAATTTAACGAAAGGAAATGGCGAAAAAGGTAAATTCTAATTTAAATCATCTAGTACATTGTTCAAAAAGAATCTTCCACTGAATAACAAAGAACTTACATTCCATGTGGCTTTCCTCTCAACCAATTTCCCTCATATGTACAATTTGAAAATACAGAATGAGAGGACGAAAAAACATATTTGCCGTATCGGCGAGCAGGAATAATTCCATCTTTTATACGATGCCTTGTTGAATAACGCCGTTCAAAAAAATAAGCAGTATGACAAGCTTGCAGGAAGGCAGTCTAAGAATAAAACTCAAATAAAATTTTACGAATTGGTTCTCATTTTTTTTCTGAAACTTGAAGGAATATCATATTCGCAGTTTAGAAAAAACAATGGTACATAAAAAAAAGTTACGAAAATCTTTGGCTAAAATCATCAATGAACAAATAGAGCAAATAACGGGAAATCATCAATGAACAAATAGAGCAAACAAATGGAACAGTAAAGTCAAGTGATTGTCTCATCGATTATTACCTCGAACATCAAAATGACTATGACAGCAGTAAAATTATCATTTAAAAATACGGATAATGCCAATGAACCGCTTACATTTGTATACCTAGATGACTGGCAAAAAACGTCTAATTATATTAATAGTTAGTGCAACAAGCCTAACAAAAAATGAGCGCTTAATCACTTACACACTTGTAAAATAAAAAATTCTTCTACATATAGATCATTTCTAAAGGCTAAGAACTGATTTCAAAAATTACCTTTGCCGCAGCATTAATAAATTCGATTCGAAATTCTTCATCAGCAGTTAATACTCGCACGATATGTTGCACATCACTGGCAATTATTTCAATCCACACTAATGGAAAGAATAATAATATTGGAAATGAATAAGATGGATATCCTCGTTTCTGCTAAAATAAATCATCTAATTAGTTTAAGAGAAAAAATGAGAATAACTGCTATTTACTCATTTATTCATTTAGGTAAACTAAAATACTCGACTTAAATGCTGCTAACTCTTATTCTTTCGGATTTGTATAATTTAATCTAATATTTTAATAAATCATCTTTGCTTCAAAAAGAAAATCTTCAAAAAATAAAAAAACTTATCATGAATCAATAGATTTAACTAAAAGAAGAATTTAATTTTACCTCAATGAATGCAACTGCGTCATTGAAAACAACAATGGAGATCCAAGTTTTCGGGAGATAACTTCTCGCAGATAAATGCGCTACGTTTTTGACAGTACTTAGTTCATCACTGAGAAAGCAATGCCAAATTACTAAACGATTCGCCTTTTTCAACTTCTGCAAAAAGTTATTTCTATACGACGCATTTCCACTCCGATTTCATACAATCTATAAAATTCTCTTTTAAAAAAATAAGTATTTTACTTGTCTTATAGATAATGACGAATTTTTCCAGAATGTTAGCGTTGAACTGGCCATTTCGCTATATTTATTTAATTGTTGATTTGCATATTTCCACTGACGAGACCATTCTGATACAATGCGTTCACTTTTTGAACAAAATTTCTAAAGATATAAAATAAAGATATAAAATCTGCTAAATTTCTATTTGCAGAAATTTTAAAAAGAAAATTTCCCGTTATTAACTGACATATTCCAATTTTTCAATATTGATTAAACGTAACATCGATCAATGGGATATATTAAGCAAGAAAGCTGCATATCCCCTAATCCAGTTTTGTACCATTAAAGGTACTGATTCCAGGTGAATTCCAGGTGAATAAAACGAGAAATCAAAAAAATGAAAATAATTAGCAAAGTTATTTCCTTTAATTTCTCGCACCACTACTAGTTTGACTGGCTCTGCTGACTAGGGTAAAGCACATCAAATTCGTTCAATTGGCTGCCAAGCCTAAGAAGAAAAGAAGGCAATCCTTTTTCCACCATCTCAGCCCATATATCGCTGGACCGGATACAACCTCTTCTGACTGGATGAATATAGGTCTTAATTTGCCTTCCCCGTCTTTCATACCACCCATCAAAGGTTAGCAAGTAGCCAGATGTGTCAATTTTTATGATCGGAAAAGAAGAACATGGCTTAACCAGTGTTTGCAACGTTCTCTAATAGTAATAGTATTCTATAATAGTATTTCGAATGCGATATAAGAATTTTGAATTCATATAGTATTTCAATGAAGGTGGACACAATAATGTGAGACTTTCCCGCTCGGCGAACAAGTTAAAATATGTTACATGAGTGGTCAAAGGCAGTTAGCTTGCTAATATCATCTAATCTCATTCGCCGTTTCGCAGATATTTAACAGGATTACAACCAGGTAGATGGGAACTATCGATAAAAATTTCGCAAAGATCCCAAAGAGGCTTCGCCAGATGTTCTAGTTGCGATTATCCGTGCTGCAAGTTTGTCCTTCACTTGACCGTTTGGTATAAGAGTAAACACAACATTTTTAAGGTCTGCCGGCAACGTGATATTTTATAAATGTATGCATAAGGCTATGGTCTTATTTATATTGATCAGATGAGTCCGATTTTCGTTGCAGTTGTCGATACATTATCTAGCATCTTGTGCATTGCTTTAGTATGCAAAAAAGTCTATTTCATTATCATATTCAAGACTGTAATATTATGTAATAGACTGACTTGCAAACCTCTTGAATGCCAGCAAATAATTTTCAACCGTAAAGTTGAATACTGTAAGGGAAAAGACCTAACAGGCACTAGCTCTTATTTCGAAAGGATCTATCAATCTCGTTATACAGAAATTGTACTGATACTGGTAAAATGCCTGGTCCAGTGATCTCTAGAATACCATCGTATTTCACATCCTCCAGAGCGCTGCTTTATCACTGAATTACAAGCAGTGCAAGATCAGTAAAACAAAAGATGGTGAACTGCCGATATTTGAAGCAATGTTCCAACGCCCTTCTTAGCGTGAATATTTGTCATCACAGTCGCGGCGAAGTCCGAATCCGGCTTGGTTAAGGCGCTTCCTACTGTTTCGTGTTGCCACAAGTTTATTCAGTGGAAAAGAGGTGAAAATTCTTCCAGAAACGTCTAATATGCTAATTTCTCCATAGTTATATCAAAGTATATCCTAATACTCTCCTTAAGAACTGGAAGCAAGATTGCCATGCTCCAATCATCTTACATTAGCTCTTCATACCAAACAGTTAAAGATGAGTTGCGAAGGATCTTGGAAACCTGAAGACTTCAGCTTAATGATTTTTTTTTTAATGGCCTTAGATTTCTGAATGATGGAGATTATTTTTTGCACTATTGGCGGCTCGCACTTGCAAGCATATGGCTGGATGAGCATTTCAGTTATGTGCGGACAGATGGATGGCGGGCGCATCGTGGTTAAATTCTATCTCAAAGAATTCTTTCCACCAACAAAAAGGTCTTAGGAGCTCTTATAAGCACACCAACAATTTTCTCAGACCATTTCACTGACTTCCTTTCGAGTTTTGATTGCCGTAGTTTCCTGTTTTCGCCTTCTCGAGTAGTCGTCCCAATATTCAGAGCCATTCACTCCAGTAAAAGTTTCTATTCCTACTATGCCGCTATTATTGCATGCTTTTGAAGTACCCAATAGCCTTGATTTCGAGACATGCATACTCTGGCAATGTTTTCGGATGTGTTGTTTGGGCTATTGCTTCCGATGCCCAACTAACACATTTTTGAATGGTAAATCCTAGCGTGGATAACCTTTAGTTGAGACCAATATTGATCGACCATTCCAGAGATGTCGTTAACAGTTATATTACTGTTTTGGCAATTCCGCTTGACATGCGCTTGCTATCCCTCGATCAGCTTGAAATAGCTGAAAGGTTTAGGGGAAAGCTCTTTCCTGCTGTCGGCTTCATGCGGATCTAGATCGGGGGAAATTGTTATGCGAGATGTCTTCTCCGATACCAAATGCAATGGCAATAAAAAGTTGAGGCTCTTAGGCAAAAGGAAGGCGCTCTTCATTCCCGCACCAGATCTCGACACATCGTAAACTGCTTTCCATACAGTCGAAGCAGATCGAGCTCTTTCACACATGATGGGCAAAATTGCTATGCAATATTGTTCTGGATTATCTGAAGCACCACAATGATATTACCAATATGCTCTGAGTCATATATAATTGCGAAACCGAAAGTGAGGAATAAGAACTTCCGACAAGCAGGATCTTATATTTGGATAAAATATGGACGGTTATCCGACAACCACAAAATTATCACCTTGCCACATATAAACCCGCGTGAACAGATGAAATTTTTCGTCTCCATAAACAGTTCTTGAGCAATTGGACTGATTCGAGAGCTCATTTTATCCACAAACTATTTTAATGGGTTAGGTTTGCGTACAATGCACAATCAAGGACAACACACACGTCTTAGACATGGACGCCATATCGATACAACCAGATCCTTTATCACAGTGTCACTTAGGGATGTAAATGCACATGAGCCCACAATTGGGTTTTAGCTTTCTGACAAGCTTACTCCTATCAAAAGAGGAGAAACAAATTTCTTTTGGAGATTATGAAATTTAATGGACACATCACGCAATGAAGAAAGCAAAAGACTACTGCGGAGCGTGGATTCAAAACAAATCTCATCAAAATTTATTGAAATGAGGATCAATGAAGGGCCAATTAATGAAGAGGTTGATAATGCAGTTGTTGCAATCCATCAACCGCGACTGTTTTCTCGCAGCCTTGTAGAGGAAATATTGTTGCATTTTATCAAGATTGATTTGGGGTCGAAGTCGGCTGGCGTCACCACACTTTCTGAGGTGTCATGGATTTCACCAGGCATTTTGCTTTATCATCCATCAGTTTTCATCGGTTTAGAGGTTTAGAAAGAGAGTTTAATTCAGTAGCCTGCCGAGTCGATAACCAGTCGATATTGTGGCGAAAGCAAAAGGCCGCTCGCTGTTCGGAACAGCCTGCTTCCACTCCCCTTTGGTTCCGTCTAAGAGTTTTTCATCCTTCATTGAGCCATTAACAATTTAAAAATTTCTTCATTTCTTTTTTATAAATTCCGCTGTTAAATCTTATCAAATACATTATATAATACTGCGATTATATATGTTTTATTATCTTACGACTATTATATAATAAGGCGATGGGATCTGTAAAAAAACTTAACAGGAAATAGTGGACTACGCATGGAAAAAATTCTGAAATTATTTACGGGAGAAAAACCCTTCAAGAATAGCCAAAGAAGAGTGGTCAATCATAAAAATGAGCAGCCTTCCGCTTTCGCCCTTTCGCGACAATATAGAAGATTAATTATTGTTAACAGTACTATAAATAATGAAGGAAGAATAACCGCTACTAATTACATATTAAGATCTAGTTCAGAAATAAATCAGGAAAATTTCGTTGAAAATGACCACATGTCGGCAGAAAAATTGAGAATTTTCAGAAAAAAATGTATTTTTGCCTTACAAAAAAATAATGATAATATAGAAAATCATAAAGTGAATCCTAATTCCTTGACAAATAACCTTCTTTGTTTTCCTCTTTTCTTCCTCTTTTTTTATGTATTAATTTTTTTCCAGTAAAATCGTTATGCGAAAATTCTTATCCTAAAATATTCGAAATATTCCTTTTTTATTGCTGATTATATGATTAGTTCGAAAGCACCAAAAATGAAAGTTTTTCATAGATGAATATCGCTGCAAGAAAAAAACTGAAAAGATTTGAAGATAAAAAGAATGAAGATAATCGGAGTGCTCACGATGATTGATTAACCTGTGTGTTTCTTGATGTTTTCTTCATTAATTAATAATACTTCGAATTCTTCCTTTGTGAATAACTTTAAATTCCTTATCAGATTTTCGTACAATAAAAAAAAAGGAGAGAAAAAACATGCTAACGTGATGCTAACGAGAGATAGAAGAGTACAGTTTAAATTTCTACAATAAAAATTATCTATTTCTTTAATGCCGAAAATATCTTTCCGAAAATATCAAAAAAATTCGATTTTCTATAGCTCACTAGATTTCTTTCAACAAACGGAAATGCTAAACTGTAGACTGTTTATGGCTTTACGCATAAATCTGATTCCACTTCGTGGTTCTCCATAATCGCTATAACCTCGCCGTAATGGATAAAAATAATGTCCTTTATCGCTAAAAGAAGACGCCATTGTCAATAGTTAACAAAATTGATCAAATGAAAGTGGATCAAAATAACTGGAAAAAAATACAGTTGATGACTTCGATAAATTCTCTTTTATCATAATTAGCCTAAATTTTAATCTCAATTTAAAGATAGATGCAAATTTTTTGTCGTACTATTTTGATAAATTACTTCTATCATTCATCACGCAACGAATTCTCTGTTAAGGAGTAAACAGTTTTTTGTGAATCAAGAAATCACTAAAATGAATGTAATGTATGAAAGGCCTGAAAATTTGCGTGGAAAACACATTCGTCAAATAGCGAAATCGACGGATTCAGCGAAAAGACAAATTTGTAAATCTCCACAAAACTTTATCGTAAAAGTTGAAATTAAAATAATTCATATTGAGAGAGGCAAATTATTTGACTGAATTCCATTTCAACATTTCGTCCATTCGTCTGTACAATCTGAATTTATGGATCACTGAGAAGGATTTTCCAGTTTAACGAGGGCTGTGGTTTATGTTCGTCTAAATTTCCCCATTTGCAAGCAAAATGATTGAGTTGTAAATTGGAATAAATAAATGACGACTTGTCATAGGAAAATAGGAAAATGATCACTTAAGACGATCGATTCGTAAATTTTTCTTCGCCCTATTTGACGAAGGAAGGTTAGTTAACTCACTCGTAGAAAACATCTCTGAACATTCCACTCCACATTTTTCCTATTTTTTTTTTGATTTGCATCGATAAATGCCGAAATGATTACTTCAATACCGCCCTCATTCTTTTCGTCCAAAAATCTTTATAAAAGCCAAAAAATCTTGTACATTTGTTAGAAACATCTGATTCATCAACAAAAATGTTCCTCGTAAATATTCCTCTAACGTGTTGTTTTTTAACAGCAGTGCTTACAAATCCGGCTTTATCAACTCCTGCACTGCAATATTACCTACCCAAATACGCGTTATATCCACCAGCAGGTGAACGTATTTTCGCCACTATTGCCTTTTTTATAACTCTAAACATATCTTCTCCACTCCACTTATAGATCGTTATAAATCGTTATTAATTAAAATCGTAACTTCTAGCAGTCGAGCAAAATTTAACTGTGTTCTTGCATGTATCATCTTATCTTAAGCAAAACCAATATTATTTCACTTTCTATTTTATGTTCTCTTTTATCGATAATTTTTACTAGTCACTTTTGTAAAGCAATGACTTGTTAGTTTTAGAACCAAATTACCCAGCAGTTCATCCATTCCAAAAATCACCTAAATTGCCACCAAGAGATGACATTCTCAACTATGAAGAAGTACCGCTCGTCCTGGAACCACATCAACAAAACGTTAAACTAATGGTTCGCACAAGTTCGGCTCTTCATCCTAACAATTTTCAAAACGCCAAATTAAAAAAATCAAATGAGGAAAGAAAATTATTTTTAAAATCCAAAATTCTATCACCGAAAACGCTTGGCTCACAGAACCGCGAAACATCGCTCAAAATCCCAGCTCAACCACAAATAGCACCAATCACGAATCCATCTCATTATTATCTTAGCGGTGCTAATTTCACAAATGTAAGAATGAAAGTTTTAAATTTTCAGCAATTACAAATTTTTTTGAATCTATGATTATTTGTTTCTTTGAATTTTTGATTATAAACCACCTTGTGCACCTTTCTTCAATTGAATGGGATCAATTATATTTTTTTGAGCCATTTCCTACCAAAGTATTACTAGCAAAGAGGGATAAAAGATAAAATTCTAGATTAGAAGAAACTGGTATTTCCTTGAAAATGAGGTTCAATTTAATCTGATTTGATTTTTTTTCCCTAAAATTCCACAGAATTCAACCCATATTATAAATTTCTTACAGGTGGAAACTCCGAAATGTGCAATAATACGATGTGATGGTCCAACAGCAGACGATGGGAGCATTATTTTCGCACAGTACGAAGAAAATGGTAACAATTCTTGCCATCAGACGTTCGTTCCGATGAACTCATGCATTGGAAATAAAGGTTACCCAGTTGGTATGGTATGCACTATTTGTTGCGATTGTACTAGCTCCTTTGTCAGTGAAATGCATCAAACAAGAGGTTATAAAGAAGGTTTCAGTCGTAAATGAACTGAAATTTATCGTAAACATACAAATCGCGACCTCATAAATATAATTTATATGAATAATACAAAACTGTATTGGGGTATGCGAATTTGTGAATTTTATTTCTTCAGGTCTCCAAGACTTTATTGTTTTGTTTTCCCAAGTTATATGAAATATTTAATATAAACTGCATCTTCTCGATAAATTTCGATTTAATGTATTAGGTATCAGAAGAAGAAATGCAAAGAATTTAAAACCCTATTAAATGAAATTTTTTATAAAGAAAATGCAGTCAAGAACCATTATCAGTCAGTAATCTTTTTTACAGTGCATTTTTCAATAATAACTGTAATAGTAAATGATTATTACTCATTTCTTAATATATTATCATTGATCAACAAAATAAAAAACCATCTTGTCCATCTTTCATCTGTCCAACTATCTAATTCTCCGAAGAATATTCAGTTTACACCGAATTTATCAGATAAAATTAAACTCCAACAATTTTCCATAATTTGTTCAAACCAAACAGAATGCTGCGAAAATCAGTCGTAATTATTCCTTGCTGAATTTTTTCAAATTCTTAATTGGTCTCCTTTTTGTTCTTTTATATTAAATAGCAATATGCAAAGAATGTCATAACCGGTTTTTTCAACTGAAATTCCTTATTCATCAGGTAATTTTTCAAATTTTTGCTAAATAAACACCAAGAAAAGCAATAAAACGGTCTCAAATGAAAATTAAATCTAATGACATATTCTGTTTTGTCGAGTCTACAGTTATTTAAGAAATTCAGTTTAAATAAATGTCAGTTATGTCAACAACGAAAATTCCAATAATTTTAACAAAAAATTGTCCAAAAAGCAGGTGACTCGCACGACCAATCAACTTTTGAAGCGCAGATAATAAGAATCTTCAGTGAACAATGAATAATCTATTTTCTTTATCGTCCACATATAAGGTAATATAATTGTAACGAAAAAAACGATATGAAGTGATTGCAATGTGATTTACTACAGCAAGAATGATTCCACTTTTCCGAAATTCTCCCAGTTAAAGTTAAAATCCGTATGGGTGAATGAAAATGGAATACTTCATATCATACCTCTAATACATAAGAATTGAAAGAAAACTTCCCAATATTTAACCACTTGAATCCAAAAGTGGAACTTAAAGTTATTCTTCAGTACGATTTTTTAAATTTACCATTCTAAATGCCATCAACCCTTCAAAATTAATACTAAACATTTCATTTGTTCAATTTTTTGACAATTTTTCACGATATCAACTTTAATTTGAATTCATTGCAGCCCATTTGAACTTGTGACTATTACTTAATTATTAAACCTCAAACTGGTCTTAACTACAACAAATCTTGATATTCTGTACAGCAAAAAAGGTGCGAATCGCTGATACAGAACTTCTTTCTTGGTTATATCGAATGTCGCTAGTCAATCAATTTAGCTAAAGGCAAACCAGCTAAATTGAACTAAATTTAAGCAAATTAAGACTAACATGGTGATGTGAATTTTTCTCAATAGCAGCTTCAGCATCCGCAATAATTTCGTTCATACATTCGAATGCCTTTTTGAACAATTTTTGCAATTGCCGATATTGTCGCAAGCTATCCACATTCTGTTCCAAGCAAACTTTGTCAATTTCATCTGATAGTTCATCACTGTAAAATGCTTATCAAATCTTTATAATTAAAACTGAATAAAACGATCCGATCAATTTAAGGTAAATTATAGCAAAATTATAGCAAAGTAGAAGCGATTCGGTGAAAACTTTATGGATAATAGGCATCGGATTTTTTCGGATTTAAATATGCCTCAAATTCTTTCATAATTATTCTTAATTTTTCACAGTTTTTTTTCAGTCCGAAAAATCTGTGAATGAAAAATTTTTCCGATCCTAAAAAATATTCCAACGTCTTAGCGAGCACAAGCAGATATCACCACCAACAAAAAACAACTTTAGAACAAAATTTTTAAAAATAAGAAATAGATCCCAAATTTTTTTAAAGCTTCCCAAAAATTAATAATAGTTAATAACAAGAAATTCCATTAAGATCCCTTAAATAAATTATTAATGTTCGATAAATATCTCGAACAACATTGTTTCAAAAATCTTTCACGCTAAAATAAAACTTATTTCCTCAATTCTGATTTCACGTTTATAACCAGGTTTAATAAATAATAACGAAGCTATTGAAAACCTAAACCTGTAAAAACCAGTGCGGATTCAATGGAAAAGTGCAAAGATAACCCATAAAACAATTCTGACCGCGAAAAGACTTAAAATACAACATCATAAAATCATGCCAAAGTGACTGAATGCCAGCCACGTCATCCTCGCAAAAATATTGCTAAAAAAACCCAATAACTACTTTTAAATTTTTTTAAAATAATTTTAATTCAGTTCTTTCTCGTTAGAACTAAAATATAAATTTTTTTTTTTTTTGGCAAAGAAAATGCTTTGAAATATATCCCAATGAAAAGTTTTTCCCGAACCAATAATATCACTAAATTCAAATGGAACAAAAGAATGGAAAATAGAAGATGGTGAAGAAGGAACAAATATCATACCTATCGCCTAATTTGTAGCACTCGTCCAGTTCCGTCTCAATTTCTTCCGCTCTGCACAAAAATTATTTATAACTATATGATCTTATGAGAATAAAATAAAATTGAAAGAAAAATGGAAATTAAATTAACAAAACTTGAATATGAAAAAAAATTAAAAACAAATTAAACACCAAATGATACATACAGCAATTCATAAATCATGCAACTATAAGAATGCTTTCAGTGACAAAAAATAATTATTAAGGCATCTTAAACAATTTATTTACAGGCATAAATTCATGCAATAGATCAAGCTAAACAAAGTGAAATATGAAAAAATTATGTATAAAATTACTTGTTTGTACTTAATACGACACATCTTAATCTTTCATAAATCTTTCTGCCTTCATTATTTCTTCTACTAAATCAAAGAACATGTAAATTACACAAAAAATATTTAAATACACTGGAACAATGGATTTTGTTATATGAAGGCTCAAAAACGACCCAACTTTCTCACAATATATCTTGCAATATACACTATCACTTATTTTATACAATATCGCAGAAATCCGATAATATAAAAATGCGAAATATAGAATTTTGTTGAAATAGGAAAAAATAAAAATATCTTGCTTTCGTTAGAATGGAATCTGCATTAAACATTCCTATGTTGATCAGGCCATAACAAGAAAAGAATCGATAAAAAGCGTACCTCGCTATATTCCAACTCTTGTAATAAATGGCGCCAAGCGCAGGCCTAATCATCTGGACAGATCCAGAATGATTTTGAACGGTCGAGCGATATATGGGCCTAGGCGGTAGAAAAAAAAGTGGCTTTTGTTTCTTTTATATATATATATATATATATATATATATTCAGCATAACAATGAGCAATCAAGCGAGATTTTAGAAGGAAAAATTACCAAAATTAAATATCATGTAAAGTTAAAAGCGATTCGTTTAAAAAGAATTAGAATTAGCTGCAACAAGCACAAACAAAGATGAATATATAAAAGACTAGTTATTATCCTTCTTTGAAAATGTACTGAATATAGTTACCCATCAAGAAATCCGTATCAAAATATATATAAAAAAATATCCAACTGGCATCTCAATAATAAGCTAAAAATCAAAATCTTACCCAAGATCCCTTATATCTGCAAAACAACCATAAGCCACATTATCGACGAAATCGGCATGAAATGTCAACATAGTCTCGATTAAAGAAGAGCTTTCAGCATGAATCAAAAGAAAGAATGAATTGTAAAATGTAACAAAATCGTCGCTATAATCCACATTATTATCATCCTTCATTTTATCGCCATTCTCGAAAAAAGTCCGCGATTCTCTCACAAGTCTGTATTAACAAATGAACATAACTTTCGAAAGGAACTCTGAATGTGAGAGATAAAATAATTAATGCCATTAATACAATAACAATAAAAGCTGCACATGAAGGGAATAAATCAGTCATCAAACCAAATTTGGAATATGCATTAGCACGGTTATTTATCTGATACAAAAAGTTGCAAAGTTCACATCATTCTTCGATTTTTGAGCAAGGAAATAACCAGCTGATCTGACTGAATATCCAAGAAAGATTTCCCAAAAACATGTCGGTCAATAATCTAACCCCAAGATACTCAAATTTGACCCAAATTTGCAAATCCCACATTTCTAATGATGATTTACGTATGCATAAGCTAATATAGCATATGATTTTGTAAAATTTCAACAATCTAGCCAAACAAATTTTTTTTGAAAAAAAAGAGTACTTTGCCGCATGAATAGCATAACATGACGCAGATAATGTAAGCTTATTCAACAAAGCTGACACCGCTGAATCATTCATAATATGACCTGAAATAAACAAGATCTGTATGAATATGAAGTGGAAATGAATAGCAACAAATAAATATTATCAAAATTTACTTTTTTCATGGATTTTTTGACAGATGCTCCAAATCTGCCGCAGAAACTTTGCTAACTTCAAGTGCGAAATCAAACATTGAACAATTTTCGTATTTCTTTCAACAGCTTTTGCTATGAAGTCACCATTATCCATAAAAATCGCATAGACAGGATGAACGAACTAAAACAAACTTTTGTCAACTACATAGTTAAACTAATGGTGAAAATTTTGAATATCACAAATGCACCTGATCAACTGAAATTGGTGTTGCTTTGAATAGCTTAATATTGTCTGATTGGGTAGCATGTGTCCCACACAAGTATATACATGAATTAATATGGATTCCTCCTACAATAACTGCAGTCATCGACCCATAAGCACAAGCATCGATAACATTTGACTGCGTACCAACCTAAAATGCAAAATTATTCCACGAATAATTTTTTCCAGAGAATATTTGAATTTGCTGACGAATATATTCTGCACCCTTGATCCTTTTCATTCACCTTCTTTCTTGAAAATTTGAAAAACAAAAATCCTTGCAATCCTTGCCTTGAAAAGAAATGGTGAAAGAATACAAGATTTATTTACAACTTTACACTGCTCATATTCGTTTGATCCCCATACATATAACTGCAATAAAAATTTTTTAAGTATATTAAGCAAATATGGACTTCATAGATTTCGAGCACATATAACTTACCATTGACATCTTGCAATCTTTTAATTCAATTAAATTCACAAAAGCTATCTATGCGGACAAAATCAATCCAATTGATATCTATTTAACAACAATCAGCAGTAAAAACAATTTCATACTAAACGCTTTCATCAACCAAACTTCAGAAAATAAAACAAACCTCGCCAGTAGCCGTCAACGCAATACTGTGATAATCACCCGCATCAACTTTGATCACATAAATATCAGAAAGAGCTAATATTTTGAATGGTTCCCTCCTGAAATAGTTGAATCATTTAAAGTGGAAAAATGAACCTCAATTATTAATAATAACTACCAATTATTAATAATAAATGTGAATAACAGTAATTCAACGGCAGTAGCTGAAAAACTAAAGCATTAAGTCAATAAATGATACAGTAATAAACGAAAAGATAATTTTTCTAAGAATATCAATGAATATCTAGCAATCATATAATTAAAAACATAATGAAGAATTGTTTTTTCTTTTCATAAATCAGGCATTTACTGCCAAATTGTTAAACATATACTGTTAAAATATAGAGCCAAAAACTAAAATAAATATTATTCACCGAGCAATATTATCGTTATGGCCTAATTGACCGCAAGTATTGTCGCCCCATGTCCAAACTTCAGGAAAACTATCATCTGTATAGCCAACTACCACTCGTGGACTTGAAGAGCAATTACTGGATTCTAAGCTAGTAGAAGTGTCACCAGTTCCTGATGAAGCATCTAAATAAATAAAAAATACGTTTCTAACGAAATAATCATGCTGGTCTATTCACTCATAAATTAAAAACAAATAAGCAAACCAACAAAATACCAATACCGGAATCCATATATACACTGGTAAGGCTATCTAAGGACAGAAATGTAAATCGCCCTTCTGAACCAGATTCTGGATCAGTTTTACTGAACAAATTCATTTCAATTCCCGATTCTGAATGTTTCCCACGTTGTTCTCCATGTCGAGTAAGTTTTTCTAACCGTTGAATATCATTTTTATCTATTTGCCAAAATTTATCTGGCAAAACGGGAGAACTGAAATATATACAAATATATATGCATATATATATATATATATATATATATATATATATAAAATATAATATAATGTAATATAATATAATATATAATAAAACAATACGCCTGCAAATTTTTTTGTACATTTTATAACATAGATTTTATGGATTAAGTGAAAAGTATTATTCATGAATTCAGCAAAATAATTTAAACATTTAAACTGTGGAATAACTTATAAGTAAATAAGAATCTTGAATTACAAATTTAAGAAGACATTACATTAGCAGGCAATTGATTTATCACCTTGAATTTTCATTATCCATTACCCCACCAACAAAGCTTTTAAAATGCTTCTGTAATCCCAAAGATTAATCCTTAAAACCGAAGAACAGAACTGGTGAAATTTATTTAGAAAAAAAACTCTTGGAGTGCTTTTAAGCGAAACAAAATTGAACCTTTTACACGAGATGCTTTTTATTTCTAAAAATGATGGCCTTGAAACTGAATGAACATTACTGTTTTCGGTCGAATTGTTTTTTAATTTTTCTGCTTCCTAAAATTCTAATTTTTTTAAGGTTTTAACTTATCACAATCAATAAAATAAAACGAACAAACCTGATTGGCTTTCGCCATAAGTGAACTTAAACGTAACTCAATACTTTCTTTGCATTTTAAGCAATAAGTCGATTGGCAATTCTTATTCAAATCTTCTAACTGAGATTCAATGCTCTCTTTTCTTGTTAACGAATGCGAGACCAAACATATAAAATGCTTTCTGAAAGTTTAATGGCTTTAAGAAAGCTCATTTCACTACAAAAATAAAGTTAGATCTGAAAAAATTCAGAAACTAAAAAGGTTTCATTAAAAGTTCATCTAACCAATAAAACTGGATATTATACCTTCCGGATTTAATTTCAATGGCTTTCCGACTAGCAGGAAGTGGTAGAGAACGAGCTTCAATACTACCTGAAGGATCAAATCTTAATTTGCCATCACCTCCATAGCTCCATAAACCGCCATTCTGATCAATTACGCACACTGAAGTTTCCGTCGCTCTAACTTTACGAACCTTGATTGTCCTGTAATGCCACTGTTAGATGTATGAGTAAAAATTAATAATGAATTAAGAAAAGCATTTCATTCAACCAAAAAATCTGCTTAATAATCAGTAAAGTATTTCATATTCCACAATAAATTTATTAACGAAATGATGATAAATTTTGCGATAATTTTTTGCTAACATAGAAGATTTCAACATTCTTTTCTTCAAACCAAGTTCTCTTTTATAATTAATATTAAAAAAACAAAACAAAGAAAAAAGAAATTCATACTCTGTGGAAGTAACAATTCCATGTTCGCAAATACCAGTAGGTGCGACTAATTTTATTTCCCGCGCATACGCAACAAAATCTTCATAAACACCACATTCACCATGAACAGAAACTCCTTGGGCAAAAAGTCGCCCTAATGAAGTCACCATAAAAAGTTTTCCATAAGATGAATGAATAGACGAAAAATTTAAATTACTGAACGATGAATCGCAGTCAAAAAATGGACCATTCACTGATCCATCATCGTTTAAAACAATCTAAAAAAAGCTGAAGTGATTTTGAAAATAATCAAACGGTGTAAACTCGTTCCGTAACCAAGTCTGACTAAAAAAGAAATAATATTTTATAAAAAAATTTATTAAAATATTTACATATTGAAAATAAACATAAACGAAAAACACACTAAACATCCGTGAGATAATACAAGTTTTCGCGATTGAAATGTGGCAAAATCATTAATCGAACGACAGCGATTTGTTACGAACGAAATTCGTTTCCAAGATTCATCATTCAGTGACTCACTTTTAAAATAAAAATATGGCATTCAAGAGCGAACCTAAAACAATTAATTTATTAACAACTAATGATTTATACAACAATTCTTTATGAAACGACAAATCTCTATTCAAATCTCTCTTTTCGTACCACAGATCCTATTAAATTATAAAATTCATTGAGGACATTTGAATTTGATGAAAGCCAAGGATTCTTCTCAGAGTTCTTCTCAGAGTTTACGAGTTTTTTTCGACAAATTTATAAAAACATATCGAAAATCGTTACATTAATGAAATTTTACAATGGAAATTAAGGCAGAAAAATGCAAAAAAATTTCTAACAAAAAAAATTGAATATTTCACGCGCGAGTTTCTGGATTGAAAATTTATTCCTAATTGGTTCCCCGTCCTAAACCGAGTTCCACAGGTTCCTTGCTAATTCACTCAGTAACTATTAACCCACCCCCTCTCTCTTTCACACCTTTTCATTCATTTTATCCGTTATTTAAGACACACTTAATTAGTGAACAGTTTTTTTTGGAAATATTGACTGCCGATTAGTGCATAGGCGTAATTCGCAGTTTCACTGCGGCGGCCACTCGTTTTATAGCATCGGAGGGGGACTCAAGCAGCAAAAACAAACAAGAATCGTCCTCCAACAGCTTTTGATCTGTGGGCTGGCAGCTTTTGTCAAACTTAGAGGGATTGCTGGATTTTTTGAATCTTCCAGAGAAATTTGTTGAGAATATATCTTAGATTCTTGCAACCTGCGGTATGAAGCAATCTTATTGAGAAACGCAAGTTCTTTTATTTGAATCGCTATATGGGAAGAGATTTTCGGTAAGGTTATTCAATGTCGAAAATAGTAAGTGTTGCTCATCAGGTAATTTCTTACCTGATAAAATCTCGTTCACTGCCTGTTCGTTCCACATTTCAGTCGTTTTGATCGATCACTTTTAATGACTTATGAACTCTTTTATTACACAAGTGGTTTTTGTTATTGAAGCACGAAAAAAAATCCGAAAAATCTGAAATAAAAGGAATTTATGAAGATTGGTTTATTGGCTTAAAATGGCCAAATAGGCCTAATTTTTATGAAGCAACACCGATAGGAGAGTGCAATTAAGCAGCACGAAAGCCATACAATTTGATGCGAAGATAAAGAACAGTAAATAATCATCAGCTTTATTACAGTTGTTTTATGAATAATAATAATAAGGTACCTTTACCTTTCACAGGAATTACTGCCGCAAGGCATTTACTTGATTGGCATTCAGCAGAACGACATTACTACTACATTCAGAACGATTAAAATTAAAGCCATTTAGCCATTTGATATTAAATGATTTTATCAATATTTGCTTTAAAACGAGATAGTGACGATGCATTGACCATATCATTATGATCATTAGTTTATAATAATTTAATAATTTAATTAATAATTAATGATTTAATAATTAATGATTTAATAATTTAATAATTTAATAGTTTATAATAATTTAAGTGAACAAGGAAGTCATCGATTCATCAGTTCTTTTTTTTGGTCTATAAATGGGCTTTTATAATTTCAGGCCATTTGTTCTGGTCACACTAATTTCAGTTGAAGTTTATACTAAGATTATAAGTACAAGTCAGTTTAATATAAATTTTTTAGGTGGAAATTTAAATTCTTTAGCCCGTTATATTCGAATGCTTATATATATACTCAGACATATTAAAATATTTAATTTATTTTTATCTATTTTCATAATTTGGGAAAAAATAAAAATTTTCGTTGGGATTGGAAAAATAAATGAAGAAAAGCAAATATGTGATAGCAGTGGAATTAACGATGAATCGTACGCATAATAATGACCGATCTCCAAGTTTTTTGCGTAATTTTTCAAATTTTTTATCAAAATTCCTATCTCTTCGTTATTCCACCGTATTACCCGTCCTTTCGATATCATTTTCGCGCATTTTAAGTTTCATTCAACTATTATAAATGTTAAATTAATAGGCATAATTTCATGTGTGAAGAAGAAATTTGGCTGAAATCATCGTCGACTAATCATTAACACTTTTGTTACTCGAACGATGAAGGTGATAATGATTATAAAATACATTCAACGAACTTATTTATCATCTTTATGCATAAGGGATTAGTAAATATTCGTTACTACAGTCTTCTAAAGCACTGTTTTGGATTAATCGAAACCAAGTTTCCAAAATTTTAACGACTAAATGCAACAATTCTTACAATTAGCAGTTCTGAGATTTCCCAAAATTTTTAGTTATTTTTTTCAATTAATCTAAAACAATCAAAAAATTTTATCAAATTTATTTATCTATTGATTATTTATCTATAAAATGATGCAATTTCTCACTATTTTTCATCATTTTATTTATTCTGATGTTTGATATGTGTTTGGTATTTATAAAAGTAACGCCAATGGGAAAACAAAATTTACATGGTGATGTTTAGCTATTTATGTGTTGCCTTTCGCGGGGTACACTATAGTCACTGCTAAAATGAGGTCCTGCGCCAGTGATTTTCTTTAGAATGGAATTATAGATTGGTCCTCAGAACCATATGGATTACATACTGGTCCATTCCGTTTGTTCATTAAGCGTAGATTTATTATTCGCTACAGAAAATGACCGGATTTACCTTAAATAATCAATAAACGTGACTGTGGCAGTTATGGCCACATTTCTCCGTATAAGTATTGTAATTTGTTAAATGAATCTAATCCAATGTTATTTCATTTGAACAAAGAGTTGGAAATTTAATGCTCAACTCATTATCATTTATCAATTTTTATAGAAAGGCTTATCATATTTAACATGTTCTTTTTTGATGGAAATTTTTGATGAGATTATTTTGCAGTCATTATTCATGTCTGATAGAAGCTGAAAATAATCCACCAACATGGAAAATTAACTAAAATATTTGTGGGTATTACCTATAATAAGCGACTAGATGGATAATTTAGCGCTTTGAGCTCTAGTAGAAGAAAATTTAGTATAATTCGGGTTAGAAGAAGACTAACGTGCAAGTAAAATAAATGCGTCTTTTTTCTATTTAGTTCAAATAGGTTTTTACTGAAGCATGCGAAATAGAATTCACAGAAATCATTGAGAGATGAGAATTAAATTTTACCAAAACTTCCAATTCTCATGCTGAATTCTATATTGCTGTGGCATAGAATGTTAGGCGAAAATATTCCTCTCCAAGATTCGTTTTATTTTTTGTGACAAACTCAATCACTTTAGCGTTTCATGGAAAATCTGAACTCTTTGACATCGTTGATTCTAAAACCTATCTAAAACTATGGCTTTTCACCGCAAATATTTCGTTGAATATCATAAATTTTTAAGTCGATTAACCTAGTGAACGCGGTTAAACAACGATAAGTTTGGCAAAATTTACAGGCATTAAATTTATGGGCCTATTCACGTGAACAAATAAAAATTCTTCTCTGTTGTCTCTTCGTGAATTTACTCAGCAAGTATTTATTCACGAAAAAAGTTAGTGATTTTAGATTTAATGAAAAAATATTCATCAACCGACTTAAAAATAATTGAGCAAGCAAGGTTCTATTATAGTTCATTGACAGCTAAGAAAAGATAAATCTAATGATCGAATTCGAAAAGAAAAAAGTTGCAATCGAATTTTCTCTCGAAAATATTCTAATTTTCAGAATGCCTGCGGGGGAAAGAGAAGTTGTCCAAATGGTTCTTCGAAATATTCAAGGCGATCCAAATAATATATTACTAATTGATCCTACCAACACATTCACTCAGTTTGTCTTATTTTTCACGTCACTTATTGCTGAGAATACAAAAGCCCTACTCATCCTACCCTATTTGTGGTTCCCATCTGAGCGCCCACTGAAGATCTATTAAAGCTGATTAGCCACTTGGTGATTCATCATGAATAAACGTTTTTCATGTAACCGAATTTTAAATAATGTATTTGACGATTTTAGAAAAATTTTAGAATAAGCTTTTTAGTGATGCTTTCTACGATTCGCTTGGGAATGACACAGCTATTACAAAGAGAAAAGGATGCGATGATCTGAACGACATTGATGATGACACTTTCAATGTGGTCGTTCTTAATCAAGTAATTAACACTTCGAAGGTTTGTTCTTATTAAGGCACACACCTTAACCGGAAAAGCTTACGTTGCTGCGCTATTTTTAACTCATTATCTTGGCTATTTTCTTCCTGCTTTAAAAATGACCATTATTTCCTTATTTTGTCATACCATCTTGAATTTTCCTTCGCATAAAATTTTTAGATATTGGATGACCCGCCACGAGTCGATCTTCTTATGAAATCGATATTACGTGTTGTTCTACCTCAAGGAACCATTGTGATTCGAGAGAATCTAAGTATGAACATTTTTCACGTTTTGCAGGAAGGCTTTATTTTGGAATATAGCTTTGCAAAGCTTTAAAAAATTTTTCTTGGGGGAAGATATTCTCGGGATTCTCAGCCCATATTCTTCTGCTCTTCCTCGTGAGTTACGGATGGCTTGAACATGATTTTGGAATTTTATTCGAATATAAAAATTTTCCAAATTTCCTTACTGAATTAATTTTCTCGACAATTTCAGACAGTTCGTTAGTTAGTCACTTAATACCCACTCTTTTTGGTCACGTTCGTTCTACTGTGAGACACTTTTGCCATTTCCAGATAGAAATACATGCTCATTCTCAACGATTCATCTTGTGCAATGAAGGGTTTGACTCTATAAAAGTTAGAGGCAGAAACATGCTTAAAATGATGATTTATACAGTATGCCAATCGGCTTAACTACTTCCATTTGTCATGAAGCAGAAATTTTTTTCTCGAATATCATTAAGACGATTTGATTTGTTGCAGGTAATTGTCCAAAAATTAATGCGATGGTTCAGTTAACCAATTTCTTAGACACTTATAAAACTAATCTCTCTAATTCTTCCTGGTCGATTAAATTTGTTTCTATGAATCAAATCAGTGATTCCATACATGTGAGTTTTTTCCTTTGGGATTTATTATAAATCCAGGAATAAATTTTTTTTTACGACTGTGGTTTAGCATTTAGTTATTATCTCTTTACACTATGAAATAATGAAATATATTTTGCTGCTACAAAAAATGTCGAGAGAGTAATTTTTAGCGAAATCATAATTTCATGGACTTTTACTGGGTATTAAAGGCAAAAAATTCTAAAATTCTCCTAAGCAATGAGAACATTACTACATTCCGCGATTTTCTTGATACGAATCAATTCACTGAGAGTGGAATTTTGGTTTACGAATGGGTTTTTGGAAAGGATTTCATCAGTCCAGGTATAATATCTTTTATTTTCTATTTCTATAAAGCATTTCTTGATCAATTCAACTGGCACAAAGAAGCAAAATGCATAATTTTTGTATTGAAAAATAAATTTTCTCTCGATGAACGCATGAAAAAATTTTGTTAAATCACTTATTTTTTTTATTTATTTGTTCACTAAATTTTGTGCAAGAAACTTACGTTCAATTAAGTAATTTCTAAAAACTCTATTGCTATTCATTAAATAAATGAACATTTACGAACCGAATAACTTTAAATTTTGAAGGTGGTGCTGAAGAAAATTTGAAAATCATGAAAAGAGCTTTCACTCTACTTGAACCTGGTAAAAAATTGCTTGACATTGGTTGTGGAATTGGTGGAGGTGTTCGACAAGCAGCCAGCGTAACTTTTTTTGACAATTCAATACTTTTTTGCTTTTATTAATATAGACCGTGGTAATTATAGTAATGATAGTAATTACAGGACTAATATTTTTAGAAAATGATCATTCATTAAGAGCTACTAATTGTTTCCAAGTTTTTTGCCAAAATTTATTGTATTTATTGTATTTCAATAATATTGAGCATAACTGCAAATTATAAGATATGATATTCTTCAGGAGTTTGGTCTCGAAGTCGTTGGTATTGACTTGAGTTCGAACATGCTTTCAATAGCGATCGACCGTTTGCAAAAATGTCCGGATTCAAGGATTCGATATTGCATTACAGACGCTTTGAAAGCTAATTTCATTCCAGAATCTTTTGACTACGTTTTAAGTCGTGATGCTCTTCAACATAATGACGACATAGGCAAACTCTTCAGCAATATCCATGTAAGCCAGTTAGTGCATTATTAAATGTCAAAGATGGGATCGTGCCGTCAAGTCGCAAAATCTATATTCGTCATCATAAGTTAAGGTTTCTTCACTATTCCCGAAAATCAGCTATATGCCATAGGGAATTTCCTAAAACATTGTTACCTATCCACAAAACATTCTTCTTCTTTTTCCTTTCAACTCTGCCGAACTCCGCTGCATCTTTTGCAACAGCCTATTAGTTAAATCATTTTAAACATCATCATATTAAATAGTTGTCGCAGGTTGTATTTTTATTTCTACAAAAACATCTTATCCCGTCATATTCCGCTTCATTCTCCTTTAAACATCGAGGTAAAATTTTGTTGACGCTCCTTCTTTTGAAACTTATCTATATTCTCCTATTCACCCAAAATTATCGTCTAGCAGTTCTCTTAATAGTCTTTCATGAGATTTCTTAGATTGCGATAGAAATGCAAAGGTAATATGTCGAGAGTTAGCTCTGAAAGAATAAGAAATGATCATCATAAGTGAGCTTAATCCGAGAAAATTTTATAGAGATGGAGATATGGAAATAGCGTAAGTTAAGAATTCGAAAGTTAAGAAAATAAAAGGAGATTTGAGTGAATGTTAAGGCATGAAAGGGATATTAACTGAGAGCCAGTTCCAAAGTGCTGAGCCAATTTTTTGATATTCACTGTCATTACCATGACTGTGATAACTTCTGTGCTTCCGACTGATCCTAATTATCATGCTTGTATTAATCTTTCATATTTTAATGAAAATGGTTCTGCTTGTTTATAATTTATTGTCATTATTCCCGAGCTTTCCAATTTTTGTAAATTCGAACTTTTTCGTTAGCTCATAGACTATATATTTTTATTACTTAGATATGGCTTAAACCTAATGGCGAATTTTTCGCAACCATGTATGGCATAAGTGAGCGGAAACCCAAGGAACGCTTCATTAATTTTATGCAACAAAGACGTTATTTTCTCAAAACCATCAGTGAATTATATGAAGTAAAAACAAGATTGTTGTTATAGAATAACTTCACTTAAACCACAGAAAATCTAATGGTTTTTATTGAGGCCAACATTTTTCATATTAAGGCTTTTAATTCATATTAATAAATGTTAATAATTAAATTAAATTTGCTTGTACTTCATTGTTGTTGAACCATAAGGGCGGTAAAGTTTATTCCAAAAATTGAATTCCACAAGAACCAATAGAGGGCGATAGATTGCCTTGCAGTATGTCGGAAATATTAGGGCTCTTCAAGCATATGAGTTTACATATACAATTAACAATTAACAATATAAGTGAATTTCGAAAAGTCTTAGGTACTCGTCAGTACTGGATTCCAAGATGTTCGAGTTGAAGCAAAAAACCAGCGCTTCAGAGAGATTTTGAACGATGAATTATCAAGAACAATTAAAGGAAAATCCGAATTTTTGAAGGTACTAATTTTATTGAAATCAATTGAGACTTTTTCTGCAGTCCTCATATTATTTTAAGTTTTTGATGCATTATTTTTTATGAATCCTTCGTTTCATTAATATTAGTCCAAGCAATAATTTTTGAATGATGGTTTCATGCAGTATTAGAAAAAATTTAACGAACGACTCGAATTAATTCCACATAACGCTCTCATGGGAATTGCTCTGCTAATACCAGAGTGAGAAATCCAAAATCAGAAGACAGAAAGATATGCAAAATGCTTTAAAGTACAAATTTCGTATTAAATGCACCATAGTGAATGAAATTTGAATATCCTTTAGCTTTTTTTGACAAGTATAATCAGTGTCATAAAATATTTCAACAATGAACTAATGAAAAATCTCTTAGAAATTCGGTGATAAAGAATATGAGAAGATCGTCAACGGTTGGAAAGATAAACTAAGTTATATTGATGATGATAATATGTGTTGGATTGAACTTTATGCCAAGAAACCAAACCGAATATAACAATTCATTCATTATTTTATTTGCTTTATTTCATTCTTTCTATATTTTTCAATCTTTAATGATTCAAACATTAATTCATAAATTGATATAATTTTTTCAATAATAAGACTGCGTGGTCGGAATTAAAGTTTAAAATATCAAGCATATTTCAGTTAATTAATAGACTCACCGAAATTTATAAGTTTTTACGAATAGAGTTAATTATTTCTTATAAGATACTGTGGCTACAAAGATGAAATGCAGCTTCGTTGCGTAAAAATTAAACCTCAAAACTCGATCTTTTATTGGTTTAAGCCTGCGAGAAGAGATTTAAAAGGTCTTATATTTTTTTGTATAAATTTCCACAGGAGGCGGACGTGATATTCAATTATGAGATTGGCCGTTAATCAAATGAAACAGATTTTTATTGTTAAAAAACAATTTCTTGTTTTTTTCTTGACATTTGGTTCAATAAATATTTGAAATAAATGCGATTTTCATGAATTTTTAGCGAATTAGTAGTTTCGAAAGAAAAAGGAAAAGGAAATCGGGATTTCAAATTCCTTTTCAAGATGGTTATACAATTGCAAGAAACTACAAGAAAGCCTCATTTTTTATTCTTTATTGACCCCTTTCGAAATTTCTGACATTTCTATCGATATGCAATCGGTTTTTTTCTAAAGCTTAACTCTCTTCATCCAAAATTTTTTTTTCAACATTTATTATTTCCATTAGAATGCTACTTCATTTAAAATCTTATTCCTTCCTTTTCAATTTGCTTTCATTTTTTTTATTAATTGTTCCTTCCTCAATCACTGCATAATTTATGGCCGAAATACAAACTTTTCCTTTCATAATCGTTGCGTGCCTTATATCCAAATCCGGGTTTCGTCTTCCTCGACCGTTCCATAGTTTAGTTCATAGAGCTGTCAATAAATTTAGTATTCCTTATAATAATTACTTTAAGAACATTGAAATAACATGGAATAAATAAAATTTTGAAAACTCAGCTTTTTTAAGTTGGTTTCTTTTATTCTTTTTTCACCTTCTGTATGCAAATACTATAAAGGCAGAAGACTAATTTATTTTTAGATTTGTGATTAGTTACTTAGCATAAAGTGAAGTAAGCAGAGAATCGGCTTAAAGATTTGAAAATGGATAATGGTCGACTCAGACTCAGACGGAATATAAAGTCCACTTGTGAATTTTAATGCATTTTCCTCCAGTCCATTTCCTAAATATAAAAGTTCGTAGCAGAGATTCTTGGAGATTCTTGTAAAATTGTTTCGAAAATTTAAATGATAATAGAGATGTTAATAAAGCGCAATGGTGAGTTTCTGCAAATTTTGTATAAATGAAAAAAAATGAAACTTGGCTGAATGATTTTTTGTAAACTCGACCTCATAAATGTTTGCTCGATTCATTTTCGCACTGCATGAAATTTAGCGCTATAATCAATTCTCTGTTATCATATCGTATAACCATGAGTTTCCCATTAGCTTTTCTTGTCGTAAAATCTTTTATTTTCTACGTTTATTTACATAAAAAATCAGTGCAACAAAATTTTTTGTTTTCCTCAGGTGAGATTTTGTTTGCGCATTTTTTAAGAAAATTGTGCGTCATTGAATTTTCTTGTAACAGCGCTCACTATTACTGCTTAAAATTGGCTAAAAAGGTGAGGAATTTCTAAGTTTGTCGAGCATTTAAGTGTGTTAACAAGCAATCATTTATCATTATTTGCAGAAAGCCTAATAAAAAAGATTTTCTTTCTCGACTGTAGTAAATAAAATGTATAAGATTTGAGAGATCCAAGTGAATTTGATCATAATCTGTGAATTGGTAGAAAAAAATCTATCGCTAAGTTTGGCTTATTTTTCTATTGAATGTTGCGGTTTTCTCAACTGTTGTTAATTTTTGATGGCGAAACAAGAACTAATGTTTACAATTGGCGATATAAATTTTCTAATTTTATCAAGAAAAATTTACATTGATATGATTTAAAATTTTATTCGCAAAGCCAAATATTTCCTCCAATATGCCTTATTCTATGACATTCATATTTTTATTTTCCTCTAAAAACGATTAATTTTTTAATAAATTCTGTTCTGTTAATGATTATTTATTGCGATACAAATCCGTTAATGATTATGATTTTATAAATGCAGTAATTAGCTGGATCAATAGAATAATTTTGAGGTTATTTCGAGGACACTTTCATAGATCTGCAATAGTGGAACAAATTCTGATTTCTACAAATGAATTTATTTACTCTTTTTTCAGCTTCTTTTAGCTGAAATTTTTAATTTTTATATTATATCGATTCTTATTTAAATTTTATTAAATGTGTTGCGATGTTCATTTTAATGTCCTTTTATTAAACATAACAACTCTTCTTAATAGATTTTCTAATGCTGAAAATATAATTTAATAACTTTTTTCTTGCTTCGATCTGAATATTCAAAAATATTTAAAATTCTCTCGTTAAATTTAGATAAAAAAGAACGCTTCTCTCAAAATGCTTCGTTGTTTTTCCTTTGAAGTGAGATTATTTTTGACAAATAAGCAAAAGCATTTCACACGACACGATTTGGCTCTCGCTTCTCTTAGTAGTACGGTTAGAAATGATTGTTAGGTGGAACAAAGGGATAAAACACAAGTTTGCTATCGTCACCCCAATTTTTTATGAATAGGCTTCCCCTTTCCTTTTTTATTTATTAATGACTATATTAATAATGTACAAGAAATAGATGACAATTTTTGCGTATTCGCATATACTCGTACATATCAAGTTATTTATATAAAAATTAATACGGCTTGTTTATTGACCATGGAATAGCATATTAAATAATTTAATGAGCATAAATTTCTTACATAACCAAGCCTTTAAAGTCAGAACAGCGGAACAGCGGAATGGTTAGATAATCGCATCGAACATTCCTCTTCTGCCTTTAAGCGAATAAAATTGAGCAGCCAGGAATTGAAGGCATGCTTATACTTCTGTCCCCACTTAGCTCTCTGGCAATCTCATTCCACTAATAGCTCATAATGTGAGCCTTAACTGATTTTCTAATTTTCTAATTTTACTTGATTATTTTAGCTTCATTTCGTAATTCGTAGTCATTGTTGAAATTCTAAATTTTGAATTTTCAACGAATCGCAATAATTCATTAATTGTTTAAAAAATTAATACTCAAATTTTTTATATTGCGGAATTAATTGGAAAACGGCATTTGTCTGAGGGCAAGTAGCGTGGGTTCTCTCATCTTCGCTCATCTTGAGTCATCAAATCAACAATTAAAAATGAAATTCAAGGTGACTACCTATATAACCATCCATCAGAACTACCTTATCCTAATAGTTAGTGAACTCAGCGAATTGCAAAATGATAACTGTTCAGAAAAAAGGCTCAAACAAATTATTAACCGAGAGAACATGCAAATTTAAGGAAATTTTGACGTCACTAATTCCAATATCCGCATTCTTATTCGGAATATGTTTGGTTGCCACACTTTAAATATTCTTCGTGCTAGCTCAATTGTAAATTATAATAAAAATTTTGATGTCTCTGATTCTATTTTGTTTTGCGAATAAACTAATTTTTATGCAATACTGCCATTATAAATTAATTTTCAGTGTTTTATAATGAATTTAATTTGCAATTTTATTCAAAAAGTTTGCACTATTCCATGAAGAAATTTATCGTTTTTCTATAATTTGCAATCATTGGACTTATGTTAGTGAAATAGATTTAAAGCTATTTTGCTGTTAAAATCCTCTTTAATTTGCGAAGATCAGCTAAAGATTAAGTTTGTTTATAATTGCTTTCTAATCGCATTTTAATTATTTTTTTCTAAAGGTGAATATTGATAACGAAAGTGCGTTGCTTACACTCATTGGCAATAAGGCACTAAACCATGTCACACTGAGCCGCTTATTAATTTGGTCTAAAACCTGAAATAGTGAAGTAGAGTAAATTGATATATCAGATTTGCTATTAGATTTCTCGTGTTCTCTTTGATTGCAAAATTATTATCAAAATTCAATGAAAATCGATCTATTTAATGAATCTCATTGAATGATATTAATATTTAATTATATCCAATGTTGTTGCATGGATTGATATGAAATTTCTGGATATTTGGCTCGTCTTTTAATTGTGGAACAGTGGTTTCCAACTTTTTTCTACATAATATACAAAAAAAATATTCTTCTTATTGACCCATTATAAAAAAATATTTGGTTTATCATATTGCATAAGTCAATAAAAAAATTGGAATTTTTAAGATGGCAACGAAATAAATTTTTCGAAATTTTTAAAATTTACCGGGTTTTCATTCATTTTCTGTGGAAAGTTTATATATAAGAGTTTACGAGTTGTATGAAACTAGTCTTGCTTTACTTGTCCATCGACCCCTCAATTAATCCTTTGAAGTCCATTGGCTTCCAAAGGTCAATTGTAAATTGTGAAGTTACTATATTATTTTATATAAAAACAAGCAAATCCAGTCTTATACGATCATTTGCAACGTGGCAATTCATTTGTTTGTTTCATTTCATACCAATTTATCATATTATTTCAAATAGGAAGAACTTGGGGAATCTTTTAGTTTTATCGCACTTTTATACAATTCATAGGTTAGTTAAATGTTTTCAGCCAGGCATTATAGGTTCCTCAAAATTAGCCAACATAGAATTTTTGCAAGTCTGCCATTATTTATAAAAAGAAAACATCAAATTTTTGAAGGTTTTTTTCATTATTCTTAGCCAAATTCTCACTCCATCATCCACTGAGTTTGTTCGTGAGATGTTTTAGCAATTTTTTAAACAAGTAATTTTTTCAAAAGTGCATCAGCCATAATTTTCATCCGTTTTGTTTTTAAAATTATTTAGCCTAAATTCGAAAACCTGCGAAAAGAGAAAATTTAATTAAATCTATTATAGGAAAATTATATAAAATTCAGTTATAATTTATTTAATCTATTTTAATCAAAAAAACCATATTTTATTACTATAATATATTA